AAACTCTTTACAGTGGCCAATTTACGTTTTCAACTCAGTTGATAACACTAACTCTCCCTTTGAAAAATTGCTCCTGTTTTCAGGACTCGGTACTCTGTCCATCACACACCACTTGCTGAAGCAGAGGAAGCCACTTCAAAAGACGAAAAGACAGACAGGAATAATGGAGAATAAAGAACACATCAAGAAATATCATTGCATTTAGCATACAAGGCAACGCATCCTCTTTCCTTTAAAATATTTAATAGAATAGCGAGAGCAGATATGTTCAGGCGAAACATGGTTTTTAATGATTAACTCTATTAACGTTTTTGGGGTATTATTTGCTCCTATTGACATATAATACTCGCATTAATTATAGCATTAGATGTTTCCTTAATGAAGGCATCGTTCCGATTTACACAAATCCACACTCTATAGAATAATCAGATATACACGTGATATTCCCGTTTGAACAAACGTACGTTGTCATATTATTAGCAGTATCATATTAGCAGAGGTAGTACATGAAGTGGTAATATTCATAAATATTGCTATAAGCTAATAATAGTGATACTGATACAGTTTTGGTTTAATTCGTTATTAAACGGGTATTCTTTAGTTTGTAGACATGCTTGTTCAGGAGGACAGCAGCAAAACATGAAAAATAAGTACCTCGCTTCGTTTGTGATTTTAATAAAGTTTTAGCACAAATATTATGTCATTTACTTTGGTGCTACGTGTGGAATCCCCTTGCCCCTTTCGAAAAAACACATGATATGTAACTCAGTTATCTCAAATGTAAATACTTTTAGGGTGGAAAAAATAACGAGGGAACCTTTAATTATCCCCCGAGGGAGGGGAATTTTTTGAGGGGATCACACGGTTTTCCAGGGGTAAGTTGACTGCCAATTAACTTCCGATGAGGAGGGGAAGGGTGGTCATAATAGTATTATAGAGCCTTAAGGAGGATGAGGCATATTTCGTCATGACACAACTAAAATTCTCTAGCTTAAATGTGAACTTGACACATTTTCAGTCAAATGTGGACAGTAACTTTGATAGCTGTCATCAATATTTTATTTCCTTCATATTGTAAACAAAAAAATCCGACCCCCTCAAATAAAGATTAAATATTAAAGCCTAAGAAAATATATTATAAATCAGTTTTAAAGAAGATTTCGTCGAGGATAGAAACACATCAGAGACACGGC